AAAAAAAAAAAAAAAAGCAGTTCTGAAACACAGCTGGTCCCGAGGGTTTGGATAAAGATTTGGGTACCTTTATATATACAATAAGTCTTACTTTGCCAAAATAGAGGCCTGCGTCTCTGAGAGAAGGGTAATCAGCATATTTGTTATTGAAAGCTCGGTGTCTGCTCTCTCGTGGACCCAATCACCTTGTCAATTGAAATAAACTCTCCTGCTGGCCGTGGGATTAATGAGGATGCTGGGAAATGATAATGTGTGTGAACTGCCACATGATGAAATTGGGAAGGCCTTCCCTGACCCCGCTAAGGAAAGGGGGGACTCAGACGCAACTCGTATGACATCCTAGAATCTGTCATCTGTCCATTCACCCAACCAGCCACCAATTCCAGCCAAATATGGGATCTCCCTGCAATTAACAAAGATCACCTTCTGCTTGCAGCACGGGAGCTGCCAATTAGCCAAAGTTTGCTGCCTGGAGAAAGCCCATGTTGAGGTATTGAACCACCCCACTTTCTTGCTATAAAATCCATAAGAGGGCAGGATTTGATCTACAGCCATCATCATGCCTAATAGAAGAGAAACCTCTGGGACCTGCAGGTCCCCGATGATGGATGTTTCCTTTTGGAAAATGCAAGGTGGGTGTCAGGGCTCAGGGTTTGTGTTTCAGATGCTTGAATAGCAGGAGATGCTGGCTGCTTGATGGTGGAAACTTAGAAAACACAGTCAGGAGAACTAGAGGTTTGGTGTTTCTCTCTTGGGGTCATTCCGCGATTGCTTATTTTTGCAACCAGATTTTGGTTGACCTTGCTTAGCTTTTTTTCTGTCTGTCTGTATGTTTGTTCATTCTTCCAGTGACATGGATCTCATCTGTTGGTAAAACTCTGCTCAGAAGTTTCTTTCTTTCCTTGCCTTGGGTCTCAATGGTATTGATAATCATACAGCCAACTGCTCTTTGAAATGGGGATTTTAATCTTGAATAGCTATCATTTGGCTGTGCTCTCAGTCATTGGGATAAATGCTCTACGTTCTTTATCTTGCTTGATGCTCACAATAATTCTTCTGAGGCCCGCAGGAACCCATATGATGGATGAAATAACAGAGGCCCAGAGATGTTAAGCGACCAAAGTCACATAGCTACTAAGTGGCAGAGCCTGAACTCATCCATGTGCTTGTTCCTACTCACTCTTAATTCTTCTGGGCTCTAAAAAATGCATTTGAAGATTTGGGGAAATTTGAATTATGGTATCAGGATGAAACATCATAAATAGGGCTTAGGCATTAAAGAGAAAACATCCTTCTCCTTTCTTGCTAACTAAAAAGATTTTCTGGCACTTTTTAGGAAACCTAACCCCCTGCCCAGCCCCCACCCTCAGATTCATATATTTTTTAAAAAAAATCAACCCCCAAAAACGGTGTGCTGGAGTTGGCTCATGCTGACTCACAAGAATTGAACGTGTTCTGAACTGAACGTGTTCCCGGCCCCAGGTTCAATGGCATCACATTGGTAAGCCTGAAATCAGCCTTGGCTGGACTATGCCCACCATAGATATTGGCATGGCTTTTCCTTCTTGGAGAACTGTTCTGTTTATTATACATTTACCAGCATACCACTGACCCCAAACTAAAATCACCATCAGGATCAAATGGTTCACTAGAAAAAACAAGCCCCAGCAAATACTCTGACTTCCCATAGGGATCTTTCTGGATGTATTTTTCTGTCAGGCTGATCTGGTTCATGTTCTGCTCTGATAGAGCTCGATATCCATGGATCCCTGATGGAATTCTGCCCTGACAAGTCACAGGTAGAGCCTCCACTGCTCCTAACGTGACCACTCTTTTTTTTTTTTTTTTTTTTTTTTTTTTTTTTTTTAACCGCAGATAACCATTTTGGACTCATTTCTGGGCACATTCTGGGTCACATTTCTGGGCACATTTCTAAAACCAAGCAAAGGAAATGAAGATGTTCCTTTTTTATCTTCTCAAGCCAAAGCCTACAGTATGTTCTTGCCTCAGTTTGGGAGAATGGATGCCCAAATGTTGGAGGCGAAATTGTTGTGGCTCGTAGCTTGCTCGGGGACATGAAATGCTATTAGAAGTCCACTGGCCGAGGGTGTTTTTTCTTAGAATCTAAGCAATCAACTGTGAAAAAAATTAGATGTTGCTTTGACCCAGAAATTCCATTTCTCAGAATCTAGCCAACAGAAATATTTTCAACTGGGTACAAAATGTGTGTACAAGGATGTTCTGCGCAGTACTGTTTGAAATGGCAAAAACTTGGAACCACCTTAGTGTCCCTCGATAGAGAAGTGGTTATCTAATTTATGGTCCACCCATACCATAGACCATAGGTAACCATTTCTTTATTGAAGGATGGTATGCTGTTTACAGGATGATGGAAACTGTCAAAAGAATGTGGAAACTTTGTATGTCCCATGGAAAGATGTCCATAAGACACTTTAAAGGGGAAAATAGAAAAATGTACAGGATAATATTTAGAGTATGATTCCAATTGTGTTTTTTTTTTTTTTTTTTTTTTAAAGTAAGTCTATTAGTAAGGGGAAGACATTAGAAAGGTCTGGAAGGAGGAAGGACATACCTCAGATCTTTAAAAGAGGATTCCTCTAGAAAAAATAATGTGTGGGAAATGCCTTAAGACTGTGGTTTTCAAACAAATTCTGTGAACCACAGAGATATTTTGGAAATACCTGGGGTACTTTGTGGGGGATGGGAGAGAGTTGGAGGGGCCCTAGATCCCTCCGGTCTCCCAACCTCCTGCTTCATGTAGAAGCTCCATTTTGACAAATTTGTTTTATACTATCGGGGTTTCCATTAAAAAAGGGGGGGGGATTTCTGCTGCTTAAAAAAATAAAGGTTATAAACCAGAGCATTAAGGGAAATTACAGTTTTCAGTTCATCCCAACCCCAAACATGGAATCAATTGGAGTTACCAGTCTATAGGTGCATGATTTATATTTCTGGTTGTATTTGATGTTAGTTTATCTGGGCGCTGGTGCATGAGATGAATTAGGGCAGGGGTAGGGAGGGGGTTTGGGAGTGGGTGGTAAACACCTTCAGGAGGAAGGAGTTAATTAAGATTCAGGAAGAGAACGGAGTCTGAATTCTGAATTCGCCTTGGTGGTGGGGCGGGGAGGGGGGGTGGGACTGTGAGAAAGAGGCCATATTAGTTTATTGGGGCAGGAGTGTTGGGTTCCCACTTATGGAGGACGGGGAACTATTTTATTTCACTCAGCATGGGATTTTCACAAAGCGACTCCCAATTCCTTAAGTCAGGGAATCCTCCCTTTTTCCTCATTCTTAGAGACAGCATGCCTCTCTTTAAAGAACCAATGCCTTCCATGCCTGCCTGTTCCTTGTTCCGCCTTGTATGCAATGCAGTTCCTGCCGTAGTGGCCTCAAGGCTTTTGCATGAGCCCTCCCCTCTGGTGGGGACACATCTAACACTTGCTCAGGCTAGACCACAGGCACAGAGCTTCAGCCCAGCTGCTCAGGACCTGAGTGCTGAGTATTCCCTTGGGTCCAAGTGGAGAAACAGCCACACCAATATATGTTCAAACAAACAAAACCTTAAGAAAAGAAAAGCAAGAACAAAGTGAAAAGGAAGAGAGCAAATAAAGAATAGTGTTGGGGAGGAGCGCCTGGGTGGCTCCGTTGGTTAAGCATCCAGCTCTTGATTTCAGCTCAGGTCATGAGCTGAATGGTTCGTGGTCGTGCTCAGCTCATGAGGCTCAGCTCATGGTTCGTGGGTTCAAACCCCATGTTGGGCTCCATGCTGACGATGTGGAGCCTGCTTGGGATTCTCCCTCTCCCCCTGTCTCTCTCTGCCCCTTCCCCACTTGTGTGCGGGTGCTCTCTCTCTCTCTCTCTCAAAATAAGTAAACTTTATTTTAAAAATCTTAAAAAAAAAAAAAAGTATAGTGTTGGGGAGACATGGTCCAAGAAGAGCGGTGGGGAGAAGCCTGGCTGTGCAACCAGTGGTGTGCTGGTCTAGCTGGCCAGTCCCTATGGCGTCAACACTCACAGCATGGCTGGTTGATTCCAAGCGTCCAATGTGACTTTAGTGAATGTGGAGCTGGGGAGACTTTCTGGGAGGAGATGCACACCGTTAGCTCCCACAAGCCTGTATGGCCTGTATGCCCTGGCTCCGAGCTGACCCCTGTCTTGGCCCCACAGAGCACATAGGAAAACTCCTAAAGCAACCCACCCACCAAAAGTAGCAAGAGGAGGGGAAGAACAGATAGGAGGCCCTCCCCTACTGCACAATCTGCTGCTAGTTTTGGCAGGTTGAAGGGCTGAGACCTACTTTGGATTCCAGCAGGTGATCACAGGCTTCATAGTATGGTGGGCGTGGTCGATAGTCAGGGCCTCCAGGAGCCAGTGGAGGGCACAGAGCTGGCGGAAGAGGGGCTCCCTGCAAAGACAGAAGAGGGGTGCACAGTGGGATCCTGATGGAACTGCATCCTTCACCATAATGGACACAGAGACAGTTGTGCTGGCTTCCAGTTAGAGAGGCACGGTAAGTATTTTCCATACCTCATCTCATCGAGCCTTTGCAGTGGGCCCATGAAGATATTCACGGGCTCATGTTACAGATGAGGAATGTGAGGCTCAGAGAAATGAAGGAACTTTTACCAGGTTGCTGGGCTAGCAGGTGTCAGAGCTGTGATTTGATGTAAGATGACCCTAGGCTGGTTATGGGGGCGGTTTTCATGTAGGAGCGGGGGAACAATGGATGGGGTCCCACCACTAGAGGTCTTGACTCAGGCAAACAAGTGGGTTGAAGGACATTCATATCCTACAGATATCTCTACCTGTTCACCTGATAAAAGTATAATAAATACACTAAGAATGTCAAAGAAGGCTGGGAACACAAGGAAGCTGGATTTATTGTAATCTTCCTCCTCCCCCCAGACTAACAGTTGGGCCCATTGTTTTAAATTTATGGGTCCTTGGCCTGAAACTGTAGCTGGATGTTGAAGAAAACCACAATGAACATGTTATTAGAAAATGTAACTAAAACACTGTATAAAAGTATGTCTAACCTATATTTCCTGATTTGGGGTGACATCTTATATTATAATGAGCCAGCCTTTGACTAGGGCACTTTACACACATTATTTAAATCCTCCAACAACTTGCGGGGGTATGAATCATTGTCCCCATTTCAGAGAAGGTTATGAATCATTGTCCCCATTTTAGAGAAGAGGAAACTGAGGCTTGGAGAGGTACAGTCACTTTGCTATAGGTCACACAGCTTTTAGTGACAGAGATGGGATCTGAACATCTTATCCAGTGCTCTCAACAACCCTTAGAGGGAGGGTACTGTTATTGTGTCTTCTTTGCAGGTGAGGGACTCAGGGGAAGGAAGTTGCTCAAGGCCATACTCCTAGGGATTGGTGAGGTTCTGAAGCCAGCTGTCTGTTTAACCCCAGAGACTGTGCTTCTGTGGGCCCCAGCTGTGTCCAAAGTGCTGCCCGAGCCAAAGTGGTGGTCGCCCTGGGAGTGAGGTCAGGAGGGGGTTAACCTGCTGCCTGCATTTGTTCCTGGAAACAAGGTGGAGTCCCGACCAGCCACCACCTCCCTGCATCATCTATCCTCTTACGCTAATGGGTGAGATGCCTCCATTATGAACCTGTGTAATTGCTCTTCTCTGAGGTTGATCTTGATCAATAATCCCCAGGGTTCCCGGGCCTGATGTGCAGAGTGGCAAGGAGGGATCCACCCTCTCTGCTTCCAGGAAGGCACCAGTGCAGAAGGTAGGGCCCAAGTACAGAGCTGACCCATGGCTGTCCCGGTGAATCCCTTGAGAAACGTCCGTTTCTCTCAGCTTGAAGGGAAACATCCCCCACTACCTCACCCTTCACTCCCTCCAGGGTGGCCATGCCCACCAGGTCTTAGAAGACCGTGGTCAGCAGCTATCCTTTCTTCTTCTCTGGAGCCCTTCCTCCCCGCTTTCTTTGTTTCCTTACCTTATTTACTAACATCTGCTATTCCCTCGTTTCTAATTGAAAGGTCCTGCAGACCCGTAGGCCTTCCAGTTCTTGTCTGTCTTCCCCCCTTAGCACCATCTTGGTCCCTACAGGTGCCTTTTGGCAGCTCTGAGCACTGGGCCACTTCCAGCATTTTGCCAAGAACAGCAGTTAGCTGTGCCATGTGCCTGGCACCTCACGTCACCCTCGCCATAACCCAGAAACTTGTGGAAAGCCCAGGGAGATGCCTCCTCCTCTGTTCACCATAGAGAGCCCCTGCCAGCCTGGGCTTTGGGTTGTGTGGGGCAGGGACTGGGAGGAAGGGATGAGCAAAGGGAGTTAGTTGGCCAGGTGGGGCCCTGCCTGGTCATAGGTGGGGGATGTGGGGCATGTGAGCATCAGACTCATTTCTGCAAGTGACAAGAACAGGTACGAACCCGACCCTATGCCTCCCTCCCTTGCTTAAAATCTGCAGACTCCCTACACTCTCTGTGTTGGGCTGAATTGTGTCTCCCTCAAAATTCACATGTTGAAGTCTCAACCCCCTAGGACCTCAGAACGACCGTATTTGGAGATAAGGCTTTTGAAGTGGTGATTATGTTAGAATGGGGCCCTAAGTTAGGGTGGGGCCTAATCCAGTGGTGTTCCTGTAAGAAGAGGAAATTTGGACGCACAGAGACACCAGTGACGCACATGCTTGAAGGATAGACCATGTGAGGATGCAGGGAGAAGGGGGCCTCTGAAGAAACCGACCCTCTGCTAATACCTTGATCTTGGACTTCTGACCTCTGGAATGATGAGAAAATAAATTTCTACTGCTGAAGCTGCCCGGTCTGTAGCATTTTGTTTTGGTGGCCCTGGCAAACTAATGCACCGTCATCTGTGAGACCCCTATCCACCTCGCTGGCCTTGAGTCTCCCCTCTTCTGTCCTCTGCAGCTTGGTGGAATTCTGCTCCATTGCTCAGGCTCACCCCTCTCTCACTTGGTGCTGCCTGAGTTAAAATCCCAGCTTTGCCACCTACCAGCTATGTGCTCTCGGTTAAATTACTTAACTTTCCTGGGCCTCACTTTCCTCATCTATAAGATGGCAGGAATTGCTAGAGTGAGGGTGAGGAGAGGTGGCGGGGACTGTTCTCTGCTCTGATATATCTTCCTCTTCCTCCTCCTTCTCTGTCATCTCCATCAGGAAGCCTTCCTTGATTTCTCTAGGTCTGGGTTAGCCTGTCTCCAAGCATCCTAAAGCATCCCATCTCTATAGCATATCTTTTTGCCCCTACATTCCCAGTCCTTGTTCTAACTACCTGTTTACTTCTCTCTCTAGCCCACGAGCCTACAAGCCACAGAGTCTTGTCCACTGCAGGTTACTGTCGTTGACTAAGGTCATCCTTATAACAACCGTGTGAGGAAGGTACTATTAGTATCCTTATTCGGCAGATAAGGAAACTGAGGCCATATAACTTGTCCAGATTCAAAACAGCCAGCCAATGGCAGAGTTTAAATCTTAGCCCAGACAGTCTGGCTTCTGAATCTGTGCCTCATCCACGATATTCGTGCTGTCTCTTGTTACTGGGGGGAGCCCTCCCTTTTCACCAGGATAAGGGTTTCATCCAATGGGTCTGGACCTTATTCTGTATTTACAAAATGTGCCTCTCAAAAACCTGCACAAGGTATTTATATAGAGCAGCTTTATTCAATTGCCAAAACTTGGAAAGAACCAAGATGCCCTTTAGCAGGTGGAGGGATACATAATCTGTGGTACATACATCGGGACAGTAGAATATTCAGCGCTAAAAAGAAATGAGCCATCCAGCCACAAAAAGACATGAAGAGACCTCAAATGCATATCACTAAGTGAAAGAAGCCCATCTGAAAAGGCTACATAGTCTGCGATTCCAACTGTATGACGTTCTTGGAAAGGCAAAACTATGGAGACCGTGAAAAGGTCAGCAGTTGCTAAGGGTCACGCGGAGCACAGAGGATTTTTAGGGCAGTGAGAATACTCTGTGTGACACTACAGTGGTGTATACATGTCATTCATTACACATCATCTGTCCAAACCAACAGAATGTGCAACACGGAGGGAGCCCTAATGTAAACTGAGGACTTTGGTTGAGGATGATGTCCAAGTAGGTTCATAGGCTGTAACAACTGTACCCCTCCGGTGAGGGATGTTGATTAATGGGGGAAGCTGAGCACGGATTGGGGAGGCATTATAGTGGGGATCTCTGTATCTTCTCACTTTTTCTCTGAACCTAAGACTGCTCTAAATATATATATTATATATGTGTGTGTGTGTGTGTATAATAAAGTCTTAATGAAAAAAAAAGCGCCTCAAACCTGATGATTGTTCATCTAACATGTGGTAAAATCAGCTGGAAAGAAGAAACAGAAAGAAAAAGGATCCCCAGAAACATATTTGATAACAAGTCAGTACTTCCTCATAATGACTGTGTGTCAGGTCATAGCACACTATCTTGGATTTTATCGACTTAAAAGAGAGGCCATTTTTTTTCTTAAATGCGGGACACAATAGACAAAAACACTGGACAGGGGAGCACAAAGCCTGCTTCTAAAATCCCTGCATTCAGAACTCCAGATGAGCACACTCAGATAGCCCACTCTATCGAAACAGTTCTACCACCCAGAATACGAGTGGGTGAAAACGTGCCTGAGAAGAGAACAACGTTTGGTGCTTTTCCTAAGAGAAATCAGAATATATCTACAAAGCCATTTCAAGCACCCCATGCTGACTGCCAAGGACAAACCTGGACAGGTGACAGGCACTGCTCTTGCTGAACAGTTGCTTACGGAAGGCTGTGAGGGGCAGCCCATCATCCCAGAGAGGAAAGGAGGAGCTCTTTCTCATTCCTAGAGACCATTCCCCCCACCTTTTTATACGTAAAGATCAAGTCTCCCTTGACATGATTGAACTGATCCCCATACAGCCAATTCAGAATATTCAGCCAGCTTTGGGATCAGCTACTTTGGGTGGAAGGGACTCAGCCGGCTCTGATCCACATTGGCTGATGTGACAACTGAGGATTTGAGAACTGATCAGGCACGCCGTGCCCTGATGCCTTTGGGTACACTGGTTACAAAAAAAGCCCCTCTCTGCATCTACACACTTTCTGGCGTGACTTTGCATCTTCCCCATCAAGAGGTGGAATCTTTCCCCCAGTCCTTGTGTCCTTGATGCTATGGCCAATAGAATGTTGTGGATGTGTCACTGTATCCATTCTGAGCCTAAGCCTCAAGAGACTTTGGTGCTCAGGCTCCTGTTTTTGGAACCCTTCCCGACTGCCTGGGCTAGCCTGCTGCATGATGAGAGACATGTGGCCCAGTCACTCTTGTCACCTTGGCAACTAGTCAACCATAGACCTGCGTGTGAGGCCACCCTAGATGGCCGCCCTCCTGCTCACCCTTCATCTGGGCACACGCATGCACAAACCTGGCCAGGATCAACCAAGCCAACCTGGACCAGCAGAACCACCCAACTGACCTGTAGACTGTGAGCAACGAAAAAATGGTTACTGTTTTAAACAACTCCATTTTGAGGTGTTCAGTAATACAGCAATGAATTACTGATACGTCATCAAATGCAGCCAGAGCCTTTTAACAGCCAAGGAGAAGAAGAGGACAGCATTAGCAAACTGTGGCCAGTAGGGGTACTGTCTCTTTGCAAATAAAACTTTATTGGAACACAGCCACAGCTTTGCATGAAAGCTGCAATGGCAAAGTTAAGACGTTGCGAGAGAGACCGTCTGGTCTGAAAAGTCTAAAATGTTAGTGTCTGTCCCTTTAGGACAAAGTCTGCTGATCCCTGGTAAAGAGTTTAATAGAAACCAACAGTAAGTACTGTGATGATAATAATATTCATCATCCTGGCCTAATGAACTTGGTATAAAGATCTGATTTAGGAGTGAGGAGGTCAGAATTCCTGTTGTAAGAATTTTGGCAGGTTCTGCCCCTCTCTGGGCTTCAGTTTCCTTATCTGGCATTGAAAGGAGATGATTAAGAAACTCTCCAGTTACTTCCAAGGTTGATACAAGCCTCAGTTTGTTCAGACCAAATGAATTGAGGGTGGGGCCCAGAAACATCCATTTTCTTTAAAAAAAAATTTTTTTTTAAGTTTACTTATTTGAGAGAGGGAGAGCAAAGAGAGAGAGAATCCCCAAGTAGTCTCCACACTATCGGCACAGAGCCCAGTGTAGGGCTTGAGCTCAAAAATCGTGAGATGATGACCTGAGCTGAAATCAAGAGTCAGATGCTTAACCGACTGAGCCCCCAGAAATAGGTATTTTCCAGACATCACCCGCACCTCCATCCCCAGAGGATTCACATGCAAATGAAATCTTTAGAACCACAGATCTACACCATTCTGTTTCAGAAGGTTTGTCCATGGGACAGATGGGCAGAAGCACGTTTCCAAGGGATGCGATGAGAAATTACAAAGCCTATTCCTGCAAGAAGATGTTTTAAGAACACAAGTTTAGGTTTCCAGTTGGAATGTGCTTGAACAAATAAGTCTATCAAGAATCCAGTCATAATATCAATCAAAGGGAAGTCGGAGGAAAGTTGAGAGTGGGCTCATCAAAAGCTGGAATATTGGGGAGAGATGATGATGATGGTGATGGTGATGATGGTGGTGGTGGTGGGTGGTGATGGTGGCATCTTCCACCCATAAACTAAGTGCTCTTATTAATGATTTTATTTTTTTCCTGCCATATCATGGTATGATTTCTCTCTTGCGTTGTTTTATTCTTCGAGTACGAGACCTGGCTCTCCAAACATATCATGAGCTCCCCAAAGGCAAGGCTTTGAGATACACTTTCTGTGTAGTGCATGGTAATGCGTGTTTGGGCTGTGAAGTCAGACAGACGTGGCTTAAAAGTCCAGCCCAGTGACATGCTGAGCTCTGTGACCTTGGGCAGAGGAGCACACCTCTCGGCTGCTTTGTCATCTGCAGAGAGGGGATAGTAATACACCTGCACAATAGGGCCGCTGAGAGAACTGAGTGAGATCTGCCTGCAGAGCAGTTGGTAATGCCGTGATCACTATGCATACGGTAGGGACTTAATAAATATTTGACAGATAAGCAGACAGAGGAGTCTGCAATCCATTGCACCATTTTCATTGCCCTGAAGCAGTGGGTCTTAATGTGGGGGAGTGGTGAAGAGGGTAGACATGATTTTGCCCCCAGGGGACATTTGTTAACGCCTAGAGACATTTTTGGTTGTCACAACTCCAGGGTGGGGCGCTACTGGTATCGAGTGGATAGAGGCCAGGGATGCTCCCAAACGCCTTGCAATGCACAGGTCAGTCCTTCACTACAAAGAATGATTCGTCCTCAAAGGTCAGTAGTGCCAAGGTCGAGAAACCCTGCCCTGGAATCAAAAGCTTCTGTCTTTGTGCCCCAAATCTTCCGGTTGAAAAGTGCTAACTGGCAAAAGAGAGAAACATGGGTTTGTAATTCTTTGGAGTTGACACAAGGGGAAGAAGATGCCGAGGTTTTAGGAAGCCACGGTGTTCTTTGGAGGGTTGATGAGCCCCTGTTATACCACGCAATCATGAGTTCATGCCTCGGGTCAGGAGACAACAGGTGCTTCTCTGGGAAATAGCTCCTTGAGTTTTGGGGGAAACGCGTCCCCTGAGCCCGGGCTGAGATGTTGTTGCACGCGCTCATTGAGAGCTACAGACAGATTTTATCAGGCTTTGCAAACTATTTGACATTAGAGCGTCTGGCTCGGTGAGGAATGGAATGGCTCAGTCCCAGCGGATCTGCCACTTAGCTCTAAGCAACACGTCTGCTTTCTGTTATTTCTTCGCGTCAGATAGCGTCGCTGGCTCCAGGCTCTATGTCCCTTTCAGGAGGACAAAGGACGAGCTCAGCAGCCTCCGATGCGTTGTTGGCTCTTTGAGCCGTTGGCTTGAACTGAAAAGCAAGCAAGGCAGATGAGCCAGAGAAGGGACTACTTACACGTGAGCCTCGGGTAGCGAGGATGAGATGATGCAGCTGTGCACGGGGGTGAATGGGCGAAGTACGACTCCAGCGCCCATCTTCCTAACCTTGGCTTGGTCGTATGTACTGAAGGAGAAGCGGAAAGAGAAACAGAGTGAGCAGTGAGCAGCCGTTTTAAACACCTCCTTCTGTTGCCAGTGGTTATTTGGCAGATATGATCGGCACCTACTATGGGCCGGCTCGAGAGATGAGGCTTCTAGAAGCAGCCCGTGAACAGATCATAGGAAAACCCCTGCTCTTGTGGAGCACATATTCTGGTGGAGGAGCAAAGAGAATAAACAAGATAAGTAGGGAAATGGTATGGTATATTAATATAGATCAGGGGTGGGACATGTTTTCTTTTTTTTAAAAAAAATTTTTTTAATGTTTATTTATTTTTGAGAC